AACTGGTCTGTGTGGAAGTTCAAATGGAGCAGTTGTCGGTCTGGTCAATGTGGAATGTCCGAGAACTTGTGGAACATGTGGACAAGAGTGTAAAGACAGCAATCCAATCCTTTGCAGCATTATGGGATCGCAATGCCAAAACCATGAATCCCAGAAGTTCTGTCCAAAGACGTGTAAAGTCTGCGAACCACCGAGTCTGTCTCAGATTTTTTGGGCTTAATTAAGCGATATTCATTCCCTGTCCTGTTTAATATCATGACATTGATGAAAAATTTTGTCCTAAATGAGGAAATTCATGACTGATACTGCTACGGTTAGCAAATTTGATTCAGATCTTTGTTTCGACATCGGAAGCTTTTGTTCGAACTTGAAAGGTAGCTGTCATGATCCGAATCTGATGCCTCTGATGATGGCTTCTTGCAATAAAACTTGCAACTTTTGCGACGCTCAACCGTCCGAAAGTCCATCACAGCCAACGTCGTCTCCATTTGTTGGGCCTTGTTTGGACGCTGATCCAAGGTTTTGTGTTTTTCTTTTGCAATATCCTTTTATTTATCTGCAAAGTGAAGCAGGAATTCTGCACCGAAAACAGATATTTGATGAATAATAAGTTAATAGTAGTGTGATTTCAAGCAACAGATTCTAGATAAATTCGAGAGTGGATGTTAAAGTCTCTGAATCTTTCAATTGAGACCTTTAATGTACAGACTGGCTTCAAAGATTCAATACCGATTTTAGGTGTCCTACTTGGGTGGCCAATGGATTCTGCAGCAATCCATTTTATACACCTGAAGTTGGCAAATGCAGGAGGTCATGCAATCTGTGCAAGTGAATAGTTTCATACGTGGTCGTTCGTTGTACGATATTTCGCTGATGTCTTATTGAAAGCTAACTTCCTTAAAATATCTGAAGAGAAGTGTATTTGTAATGTGCATGCAATGCAGTGTATTATCAGAGCTAATGCATAAAATATTTTAAATTTCTTGACCAAAACTCACATGCGATCACGTGTCAAACTGGACACATTCCGTGTAACACTTGGTTGT